TCCTACACGATACATTTGAGTATTATTAACAAAATAAATTTATTCTTACTTATTTACAATAATTAAATATTCAAATATGCTTTGTGATCATCTTATACAAATGAAGATAATAATAAATAATTAACAACTATTATTTATAAATTAAAAATAATAAACATTTGGATATTCATTAAGTATAAGATTAAATGCAGATGACATCTCCATAGCTGGTTATAGATAAGAATGTTATCATTTCCTTGGATTAAAGCAGAGGATAATTATCTTTACAATGTTAAAATTGATATCATGACCCGATGACATTTCTCGATCTGAATTTTATCATTTAAGTTTATAAATAAAATATAATAAATGACGTAATGTCATTCGGATAAATGTTGCTATAAAAAATAAAAAACAATACGTACACGAATGAAGATTGACAACGGTGACATTTATTTTATAATTGATTATTATTATTATTATTATTATTATTATTATTATAACTATCGAAAAGTTATTGCAATAGTTTTATGGCTCTTTACGTCACACTTGAGATAATTGTAGCTTATGCCAACAAAAAAAAAATGTTATATGTATTAAAGTTTATAAATTTTTTTCCATCAAATTACATAAGAATGACTTTCTTTATCTATTTTCAATCGATTTAAATTCCTTTCAAGGAATATTCAAAGGATAATATAAACTTAAATTGCAAGTTCATTGAGCACAATTTATTATCCTGCAGTAGAATATTTTATTTTTGTTCTGACAAATGGTGGCGCCAAAATTCAAACGGCTTTATTTATCTCCAAAAGACATTATTCAATTCTAACAATGGGGTATCAATTAAACTCCACTCTTCAAAAGGATAAAAAAGAACAATCTCAATAAAAAATGATTAGAAATGACAACAAAGCCAATAATCAGTGTCTTAATATATTAAATAGCAAGCTTTAATATCGGTAAATAATAATTGTCTTTGACAACCAGTTATTTAAATCTCTCATTGTGTAAAGTCCTAATGGAAACTACATGATCAACTTGAGTGTCATAAAAATGTTAATAATAGTGAAAAAAAAGTCAATTTGATTATGACAAATCGTGTCATTGGCTCTTTATAACACTTAGGTATAATTAAGTATAAACCAAGTGTTGTTTTCTATTGGTTGCACCTACATATTTGCCTGCAATTTATACCTACTGTTCATAAATCCTGATTAATGTCGTTAGAACCATAGTAGAAGGTGGTAGTTAGCAGTCACCAATGAGTCGTGCACCGTTAGTACATGACTTGGTGTAGATATAAAATGTCTACACATAAACATATGCGTATTACATTTCACGTAACAAACACTTTATACCTCGGTCTTCCTCGATACGATGTTTAGACTGGCACATGGGTAATAATTGCATTTGAAAGTTCATCCTCTCCGCCTACTAGAACTTTTTCAAGACATTCCATCGTCAAAATGCCTGATAAGGGACTCGGTTGCCTTGAAAAGCCTTCAAGGGATTTTTAAAAATTACCAGGAACGCTTGGGATTTGAAATTAGCATAATTGAACAACTATCGATTCATAGATTTAGTTGATAGATAAATAATCAACTTGAATAGGATACTTATGGAATCTTTTCATAATACTTGTGATATCAATATGTAATGAATTACTCAGGATCATTTTAATCGGATCGCTTGAGCAATCGATAACCGCATGAAATCAGTACTAATAAAAACAAAAAAATATATCACCTTTTTACTTTCTATTTTCAATTTTTCACCCTTTCAGCCGGTTTTGTATCGAAAGTTTATTGTGGTTTACTGCGCAAATGTAAATAAGATACTATATATATATGTATATACTCTTTTCGCTGACACCAGAAAACGATCCAATTTATTATGTCATATATGTCACTTATTTATTGCTTGAATGAATAATACGATATTTTTTTTTTTTTATTTTATCGTAATATCCATATTATTTGATACAATTTATCATGATTGATTAATTTAATAATTATCGATAATATTTCATTGAATAAACGAAATTAATTTTTTTTTTCGTTTATTAACACATTTGAAAATAATTTTCAAATAAAAATAATTTCATATTTAAATATTTATTTTATTAATTTCAATATATTTCAAATATATTTTTGTTTTTTAGTTGCAAATTTTGCTCTGGCATAACAATAAAATAAATGACTTTTCGAAAATTCACGAGCGATAGTAAATAATATATAGATAAAAAAAAAACATTAAGTGATTAGAATAATTTATCTTTTACCAGGCATTATAATTATTATTGTCATGAACTTCATAAAAAATTATTATTGACTGATAAAAAAATGTATTTATTATTTTATGAAATAATGAATTACAAGATAAACATTTTTTTTCAAAGGATAAATAGTTATTTAAAAGATTTAACAATAAAAAGAAAAAAAAAAGCAGATCATTATATTTGAAAATATAAATAGAAAAAAGTGTAAAGAATGTTTCTGTATTCAGTTGAATCAGAGTATGTGAACGTGCCTTCACATATTTTGTCTTCTATTCTTCTATTTTATTCTACTTTACAATTTTTCCACTTCTCTCCTTTATTCAGAAGCTAAGAGAGGTAACAATATACCAATTGGTATGCCAAACGTGCGACTTTTAAAGCGCGACGTTGCAGTCAACAACTATGCATGTATATCTTCTGACTACAGTATTCTTGCATATTCATGTCGTTTTTATTTATAATGACATAATTGCTTCATTCATTCGCTTCTTTAACGAATTCTTTTCGTAACGAAGTTTGCGCATTTTTTCAATCGTTTATCTTTGATTGTATGTATAAATAAATATACATAATCGAGAGTGTTCGCGACATGTTCTTTTTGAGGAACAATTCTTTGAAAAATTATATCCAAGTTGTTGTTTCAATTATTATTATTATATCTCATCATTGAGAAATCGTTTTGTGTCGACATCGAAGAACAAAGAGCGACGATGCATGTATATAATAGTATATTATATAGTCTGGAATTCTCATCGATATCTATCACGCGTGAATTCTCGTCTCAACTACTTCCCAGGGCTTATTAAAAGTCCTGCATAATCATTTAAAATTTAAATAATAAGGCGTATGATTTACATAGTAAAAAATATCGCAGACATTCGTTATGGTTATACTCAAATATAGATGAAAGTCATAATTGAGAGCAATAATCTGATTGTAAAATATAACCCATGTCTTTAATAAATGAAAAAATATCATTTAAAACCAGCAAAATTTTATTTAAAAATTTACAATAATATTTTTGAATAGAAAAAAATATAATTAAAAATATTTATAATTGGTATTATTAGAGGAAATTATTTTTATTTAACAATAAAAATTGAGAATAATTGTTTTTAATGATAATTTTTAATTGAATTAAATGGCGATAATAAAGTAAAATAAAATGACATCCTGATTATGAATAATAGATATTTCATTCAAGTTTAAAAAATAATTTTAATCAATAGGATGGAGCAAACGAAAGTGGGTATCTTTTAATCGAAAGATATAATAGCAAATAGGCTAGGTGAATGAATTGAGGAGTAAATTATGAAGAGATAAAAGAGATTTTTTAAACATTTAAAAGAAGAAAATAAAATAAAATACTGAAATGGCTGCATATACATATATTAGCAAGAAAGTAAACTATTAATAGGAAATCCTACGCAAGTTTATCAGACAACATTTAAATTAGTAATGAAAGTCAAATAAAAAGTCAATAACACACATTAATTTATTTTTATGACTTCAATACCACATATTTAGAGGGTACAGAGTAGTACAATAACCCTTCGGCGGGCATGAAGCGTATAATCACACACCCGCTATCGAAGAAAACTTTCTCCAATCTATTTCACCGCAAACCTAAGTGTGGTTCGCGATATATACATATACATGGCCAGAATCTTAAACTTCTGTAGAATTATCATTTTTTCACCAGATGAAAGTCAGAGGAGAATCTATATTTGGAAAGTCTGTACTCATCCTCATTTTTATGCGCACTAGTTAAAGTACTCTATTGAGATAAGTGTGTATAAGGCAAGCGAAGAGATTCTTGCTCGACTTACGTCAAGATATAGTCTCTCGGTTGCGGTTGAGTAATCCAAGAAGCAAAGTAAAGCGAGCAAAGTGTCTCGGGCTTGTCTGTCGAAACCAGACGAGCAAGAATATCTAAAAAGGAGCCAAGCCAGTCTCTTGATTGCTTCGTTAACGATCTTCTTTATAAATATCAACTTGTTTGAATTTACTTGTCTGTTCATCACCTACTCATATCAGCTCTATTCAATATTTTTTTAGATCATAGAACCCCAATTATTTTCTATAATCATGCCATTGCTGAAATTAAGGACTTACTAGGACTGTGGGAAAATGACAAGTTGCAAGCGTTTTATCACCATTTTCATCCACTCGATCAGTCGACAGTATGAAGAAAAAGAATTTCTTTGCCCTATCCTCTTTTCTATCCTTCAACTTTAATCGTAGACGTAGAACGCTTGATTGGCGACTAATTATATCGTTCCTGTGAGCTCGTCTCAGGGGACTTGTACTGATTCATTTGGAATCCGTTAATGGCAGTCGCCGACACGTAACGACCTAGTCAAGATCGATATACATCTGTAATGGTAAAAAGTTTAAATTACAGCATCGAGAAAATTTCTCTTACTCAACTAATTACTTCACAATACACACTGACATTTTTTTTTATCACCGATTTCTACATTTAAACTCCCGCAATATTATTTGGGAAATCCTTTTTTTTTCTTATTTCATTTGTATCAACTGAGGTCGATAAAATAAATCGCGAGATATAAATTCGATTGGTGCTGCTGCCGACTGGAAAGAATGCCAACTTCTTCGAGCAAAGCTTTATTGGTAAAGCAGTTAATAAAAAAAATTCATGCAAAAAATATGAAAGACCTCCTGCATGATGTTGCTATCCGTGAATTGCGATTCTTGATATGTCGGCCGCGAGGTTTGTTCAGTTTTCGAGATACGAGTTTTCACGATACGAGCTATCGATCAGTCGCTCCTTATATAATAAAGAATTTTAATTAAAAGCGCATATCTTTCGCATACTTTGATTAATTATGTTGCCATTTAAAAATAAACTCATTAAAGAGGTGTGTTTTAGTTTTTTGATTAATTGTAAAAATAAATAACTCAGATAAAAATAAATTATTAATATTATAAAAACTCTTTGCAGGATCATGGACTTGATTCTTTTCTTCTCTGGTCTTGGGCTTATCACTATTGGTAAGGATAATTCTGTTAAACTTGAAATTTTCTCGTTACTCAATTTAAATTCACAACTAGAGGTTTACTTGTTACGCTATTGATATCGATAATTGATATTTGTTTGAGTGCACATCGAATCGAGAGTTATAAAGATAACATGGAGATTCGTAAAATAACTACTTCTTATTTTAAAGTGCTACAGATCGTTAGGAGATGCGTTTTCAATATTCAGTTATCACTGGTAAGTATTGATTATTAAAATACATTTCTTTTTTTGAATTCAACTTTCTGATTAAATGAGATTTTTTCAACAATAAATATTGTTATTTATGATGTTTCTGATTATACCTTTTTTTTTCTTTAGCTACTATTCTTCTTCATTTTGTTTCTTCTCATCTTTACAATGGTTCACCAGGTCAAAAGGAAAAAGAAGAAGTAGCTGCACGAATATTTGGTTTTGCTGAATCACTCGAAGGATGTTCACGACCGCCAAACACGAAAAAAGAGAAAATAATTGGCCATACATTTCAATTACTCTGTAAACATTTTGGTCCTGAAACAAGGGATGACATTGTTGACTCTATTCAAATATCAAAAATAAAAATCACTGAAACTAATTTGCAAAAATTATACAATAAGTGTTTTGACAAACTGAAACCCAAATTCATGGCTTGTTTTGAAGAAATTTTCGACAGATATGATTTAGTGGGAAGTGAACAACCACCAGCATGTTTGAATAATTTAGCGGTGTTTCCTTCAACAAAATATCAAATATTTTGGCTTAAGCGTTTTGAAAATATTGTACGTTATATAGATAAAGTAATAAAAGGTTATAAAACATTTAGTCCATCAAGAATGGTAGTTAAAAAATTTTTAGAACAAAATATAATGGAGAATTGGAATAAATCTCGATTCTTTGATTATGCTAAAATAAAAATTGACGAATGGGAGTCATTAACAATTAAAGATAAAAATCAAAGAGTAAAGGAGATTATTGAACAACCACCGAATCTTCAAAGTATTTGTATTCTTTCAAAGGAATGGCTGAAGAATCCAACTGATTTCGAAACCAATAATTGTCTTCGCAAGATCATTGGCAATCTGATGGTAATTGAAAAACATCTAGAAAAAGATGGAGCAACTCTGGAAACAGATTTCCTTGACAGAAAATATTTCCCACTTCATTTAATTCATATAATAAAGAGTATTTTTCGTCGTCAGCAAATGGCTTCACGAAGGTCATTGAACTTTAATTTATCACCATATTCGAAAGCCATGAAAATTCATGAAATAAGAGCAGCGAATATTAAGTGTCTAGATGAACTGAGGGAACGATATGACAGAGAGCACTTGAAACTTTCAAAATTGTTACGTGAAGAGCATTTACAACAATGTCTAAATGATTTTATTAACAAAGCAGAATCAGCAGATGATTCAGTAAAAAATTTATATCTACGTCAAACGCATGCTGGCGATAAAAAAAATGTTATAAATGCAGAGAAAGACTTAATAAAGTCAATGATGCGTTCCTATCATAAAATGAAACCTCTACAGCCAGCAATTCAGAATTTAGTTAATCAGGGTCTTCCACAAGATCCCTTAGCGTATCCCTGGGCAAACCAGTTTATAAATTCATGGGAGACTTCAACAATTCCAGATAAGTACGCTAAATTAGATAATGCATTTTATTCCAATAGTATTAGTTTATCATCTAGCACATCATGTAAAAAAACAAATTCAATGGATAAAAAAAAATGCTGGAATAATTATCTTACACAAAATGCCATGGTTGAATCACACTTACAAAAAGATGGTGTGAGTCTTGAGTATGTTTATTTGGGTGATCCATTCAGAATGAACTTGATTTATTCCATTGATGATGCCTTGAAAAGAAAGCAACAAGAACAAAGTAGAGTCATTACCCAATTTCGTATTGCCGCTGATCCACTTGCTGAGATAGACGATGGATTGCTTGATCAGTTGGCAGAAGAAGAAATAGACGTGGTACAGGACACCAATTCTACTCTAGCGGAACTTGTTTCTGAAGAATCGTATGAATAAAAAAAAGGCACTTAATCATATGAATAAATGTATACTTATTTGCTGTTTCTCAAGATGTTATTCAACTTTGTAAAATATTGTAAAGTTCAATTGATTTGATATCAAGTAACTCGACACTTTATGTATATTTATGTTAAAATATGTAATTTAACATTTGGGTTTATTAAAGTCAATTGTAAGATAACTTGACTTGTTTCTGTTTTTTAATTTGCTGAATTAAAATTACATACTTCCATGATTTTCTAATGAAATAATTATATAGAACATATTTTTATGTCACATTGAATTAATTTACAATTTCTTCACCATTTTTCGTGTGTGTGTGTGTGTGTGTGTGTGTGTGTATGTGTGTGTTTTTATTTTTTTAAATATTATCATTTGAATGAAATATTTATAAAATCATAGTAATGATATAATTAAATAATCATTGAATATATTATTGATTTTCCTTTGCTAAGAATGAAGAATTTTTCAATGGAGCTGAATGAAAATTGACATCATAAGAAACATTGACCAGAGTTATTTAATTTTTATTAAACATAGAAGCTCATCCACGAAGTAACGTCTCGCGTGGCGAAGAGTAGCTCGAGTGCAATGTTCGAGTTATCCGATTGGATTCTCGATCCCAATGCAAAATCCCTTAGCACACACGCGCCTCGTGTTTCTCTCCTGACGGATGTATCTCCGTGCAGAGTTACATTCCGGCACGAACTATGCGTTTCTGTCAATTTTCTATTTCTCTGCTGGAGTCTAAATAGAAAAAACATAAACCCACTAAATAAAACAACGTTCGAATGATCTTTTATTCTGAATTGAGCCTTCCTGTATCACATTGATAAAACTGTCTTATTATCGGGTCGAATCAACCTCCCAGGGGACGTTGGCAAGATCGGGGGCTTTACGAGGGCTTTAATAGCTATACGCGCTTGTTAAGGACGCGTTGGGGCCAACAGTTGGGCTTGATCGTCTTCTCTGAGCTTGAATGCTGCACCGAGCGACAAGACAATGGTCGTTGTTGCGTTTGTTTGTCCAATGATGACTTGAAGTACTGAGATTTATTGTGTAATCTATTGATTTGAATTAAAATTGCTTCAGGAGTTTGCACGGAGAGCGAGACTGAGGAATACGTTGATTCATCTAAGACATCTACGAGTGTTCAACTTGATGCAGAAGACTACGATCAATATGAGATAAATGAGTTAGAGGATATGATAAAGAAAACTTATCACTGCACAGCACGATCCTCAAGGAATGAATCTAACTTTGATCGTAACGCAATGAAACTGCTGGATGACAACGGCATTACATCTCTTCGACCAAGAAGACATCACTATCAGGTAATTTCAATCGGTAAGACGGTTTAGATCATTGAATTTATGCATCAACTCATCATTCTATGCTTCTTAGGTACGCACTATCCGTAAAAAGATGTGTCAAGCTGGTTTCAATCCCTTTCAAATTGATAACAAACTTGGATCTATTCATAAACGATTCAAAAACACTATCAGGCTTATGATTTATAATACGCCTGGCATTTTTCCTGGACTCAAAATTATCCGTAGTGATTTGGATCGCAAGAGGAAACGAGAGCCACAAATTTGGTTTAAATTCGAACTCAATAGTAATCCTATAAGTGCTGAATTTGATTATGATAATTATTTCGTTACTGTGAGTGGAGATTTTAGCAGAATCCAAGCTTATTCTAAGATGTTGGTGGCTTTGAAGATGCATAAAAGGCTTAATAACTTCAACGACACTGTTAGCTACAAAGTAAGTTAATAAATAAATCCAATGGTATATAAATAATTTCATTATTTAATAAAATTAACAGTTAAAGTTATAATAAGAATAATAGAGTAATGATTTATAGATCAATGTAGATCTTGGAATAATTGAAATTATCTATTCCAATTTTGGAGTTGCTTTGATGAAGGATAAGACTGCGACAAATCTTTTGGTTAAAGCACTTAACGGAATCAGGACTGAAATAACGACTGATGGCGATGTTCAGATAGAATTTGAAGAAAGTATGAAGGAGGCTGTTGATCAAATAGATCCTTTTATGTACTCTTCTATTTGGCTGCAATCGATGGCAGAGAAATTAGAAGTTGTTAAGATGAGAGATAAGTCCAAGTCGAGCGACAAATCAAAGAAGTCTAATAGAATTCGTTAAAATTTATTTCAATTTTTTTAACGGGAGAAATATAATAATACTATTCATTTACAAGCTCATAAATTATTTTTATTTAATAACCTTTCATTGATGAATACAATAAAAAGTAAATTGCTGATTCGTTCAAGCTTATTGAACAAAAAAAACTTTTAAATCAACATAAACAATATTTTTATTATTATATATTATGTTGCAAAAATTTCATTATCAATTAAATCTAATAAATTTACATTCAGTTTACAATTTTTTTAGTTACAAGGAAAAAACTCTCTTGACGATTTTTATTGAATCTTAAATTAAGAAAAAAAATAATATTCTATCTTGATAGTACTTGTGTAGCAGGGATGAATAAATTTTGTTGAGCAATCTATCTCTTTTATTGCTGTTAATAATGATGTATGATGGTGAAGAAGGTGAAATAATGATAATTCAACGCTTTCAATAAAGATTAATCCATACTGTTGAGAATATGTCGTCTCTATTAATGTCTTAAATCGTTAAAATGATTACTTTTTTACTTAAAAAATTATTTTAAACAATTTCTTCATTGTCAATTAATTTTAGTTCAAGATAAACGTGAATAAAAAATTAATACAACATTGATGGGTTTGTTAGTCACGGATTTATGAACACAATTACACTTACAATTCATTTTTATGTCTCTACAATTAATTTTACTAACGCTTGTTTGATAAATTATTCCTTAACGATTATCACAAGTTTCGCTGAGTTTCAGTTCACTAGAATAAATAATGGAATTTATTTAACCGTTCAAAATGATCAGGAAGTTAAGATTTTACTCTAATTATCACCAGTAATTTGACTGCTTTCCTTTCACTTATTTCGTTTTACCTTTATCTTAAATCCAATAAATCGGACATCGAGAACCTTTTAACAGAAAGACAAAAAAAATACAATGACGATGCAAGCCAGCAGCAGAAGCAGCAGCTCGAGGCTAATCCGGGTGATCGATCGATTCGCTTCCCTCTTGGCATCTTCCTCCTTCTCATCTCTTCTCTTACCTCCTCTCTCTTTACCATCTTATACTTATACTCTTGGAATACGTGTGTCTCGCGTTTATTCACGGTGGTTTCAAAGTATCGTCACGCTTGGCCGGAAGACCCATCGACTTGGTCCGATACGGCATGTTGGAAGCAAAGCGAGAAGAACAAGTTGAATATAAAAAAAGAAGCCAATCCAAGTGTAAGAAAGCAAACAAAGAAAGCAAAGCTTAAAGTAACATTGAAAAGGATCAAAGCTCAATATAGGAAGAGTTTGAAGATCGGCAATAGATAGGCCACCAATGATCGCGACGAGCACTTATAGGATGTAAAAGCTTATCTAGTACGACTGGATCTTCAAGCAGGCCATCAAATTGGTCTATTTAGAAATGTTTAATGTTTAAAAATAATTCTATTATATATAGTATCTTTCCCCTAGAGTACTCAAGTGCAATAGCAACTAGTGTATGTATACACCAGCCATATAGAGAAGAGCGTAAAACATAATATGTACGGCGGTAGGGTTTCGCGCGAGTTTCATAGCGGCAAACTCCGTATAAATACGTACTCGAGAATCCATAATGCATCCGCCACGCCTTCTTCTTCGTTTATCTCTCTTCATACACCAGAGAAAGATATCGCTGATATTACTGGCAACCTGTGTTCCTCACTAGATGTTATGTCCTCTAGCACTACTCCAACTGTTGATCAATTGTGTTCGTCATCTCTCAGCAACACTCCTTCGTCTACCCAGCCTATAAGAGAAACAAAAAAACTAAATGCTCCTCTCTGCTATATTCTTCTGCTTCGTAAAGGTACATTAGATAAATTATACTTGGGTGCATTTCTAGGATGTATCGAGTCCTACTCAACATGTCTCCGGTGTCCTCCTTGGAGTTATGCCACCAAGAGGCGAGAGAAGAGCCCAAGACATCCTACTTCCTTTACCCTTGCTCCTGGCTGAGCTCAGGCAAACTCGAATGCTAATGGGAGATGCGATGCTCGATGGCAAACGAAACATTCCAACCGAGCGGAGATCTCGTATCAGCGAGCCTGTTCGTTAGGTCTGCTGCATGGATACCAGCTAAGAGTGTGCCGGGAAGTAAGCATATACTGGACTCCACTTTGTCGAGGAAATATTTACTTCAACCTGGAAATATACATTTTTAACTTTAATTAAACTTTTTCACTGCATTAGCAATCAGCAAAGGACTTTTTCGTAGCTTGTCACATACTGTTATTTTTCTTAAACCAATACTCTAATAGATGTTTCATCTCTTTCTATCCATTTTGTATGTTTATCTTTGTTTCGCAATTGCATTTAATATTTTAAATTTATCATTATTTAATTTATGACTTTACTCATTCATTGAACATTTTCATTGGTAGCATGGCAAATATTTTATTGAATAGCTGTTGGAGCTGATAATAAGATAATTAATCATTCAACTGATAGGTTAAAAATGTTTGAATAATTTTTCTTACGAAAAACATAGACATTGAAAATTATAACTTTATGTAAATGAAAAACTATTTATGGTGATTTGTAAATTCATTGAAAATTTTTTAAAAGAGATTGATAAGTAGCAATAAATTTTCTAAACATTAATGACGATGTAAGATATAGTGTGAGTGATCTATTTTGATTAATTAAAATATTTATTTCATTACACGGAATCTTAGTGAATATAAATTGACATCTAATTTTTTATGAATTATTAATAATATTCCTAAGTCACATGATTGTAATTTTGAACAGAGTTGATGAAAAAAAGGTGTAGATAGAAAAAACAAAAGTAGTTAAACTAGCTTATTTATGTATTACGATTAATTTGTTGGTAGTTATCATCAATATAGATAATAAAGTGTCGAGCTTAATGTAATAGAAAGAATGCGATTTTAATTAATAATTATTGATTATCAACACATAAAAAT